AAACCGAGCATCGCCTAAAAGGGTATAGACTTGTAATGTGGGTGCTAAATAAAAGTCTATAGGCTCAAAAGAGTTAACTAGGGATAAATTTTATTCATGGTAAGCAATAAAGCTCAAAAAAGATCAAAAAAAGCCTAAAATCATTTTTCAAACCGAGCATCGCCTAAAAGTTCGCTTCGACTCACATATCGGGCAAGTTCTAGACACAAGTACAATACATGGACTACATAAAAACCTCACCAAACATGGCACATGACTCACTAAGGACGGTCTCATTCCGACTCCCAACTAATGCAAGTATTCACGGAGCCACAAGATATTAAGCATTAAGTACAAAGTGAACATAAGTCAAGTAAATGAGACGTAGGCGTCACAAGACATGCTATCCAATTTAAGAAGGCATCATGGACAATTTCAAGATATAGGGAAGTTAATACACATGCCAAAAGCCTAAATATGCTACTATCCAATTTAATTTGTCTTTTCCTTTTTATTCATAACCTGTCATATTCCCCATCCCCTAAAATAAGCTACTGTTCCAGAAAAGTCACATTATTTCCCTTTTTCTTCTTCCTTTTTTTTCTCACATTACTTCTTTTATGATTCTTTTCCTCTTGTTCTGATTTTGCTCCCTCTTTTCTATTCACAAAATTCATCAAAATGGAACTGTAAAATATTTTTCTACCCTAGGAAGGTCGGGAAAAATAAGAGAAAGAAGAAAAATCATCTCACGAATACTCATAAAACATACTTTGACAATTTGGACATTGAATGCCAAATACTAAAGAAAGCAAATAAGAGAGACATCACAGAGAATGTCTTCTATTTGTTCTCCGCTAATTCTAATATATATTGAAGTTTTTTATGCGAAATGTCATGTATAAAGTTCATTAATCTAGTCATAAGTTTCTTAGATTCCGCCATTCTCTTGCAATAAGTTGAGGTTCAACAATTAGTATGAAAGCACAGTTAGTGACACTATAAAAATTGATCAAAAGAAAAATTCAAGGGCAAAAGCTGTAACAAAAGACTAACTCTGAGAAATGACAGTCTTTGCTTAGAGGCAGCACTTCTTTTGCCTCCTAACAAAATAATACAAGAAAAGTTAGAACTATCACAATATTTGTAGAAAAATCAAACTTTATAAGGAAAACAGAATAGTTCTCTTCAGAATATTTGCTCTGATTATTTGTATCGGAGCCAGCAAAACAGAAAGTAAATAATAGGCAACACAATTCAGTGAAGAAAATGAAACATAGATTCAAAAGAAGTAATAGCATTATCACAAAATATATCTCTAGAAGAATCAAAAACCATAAAGATAACATAATTCTTTAAGTTTAAAAATATTTTTATCCTATCATAAGGAAAAATATTGCTTTGTCCTACAAATAATATGCAGTTGACCCAAAGAAGAAGATGAAACACAAACTCAATACTGACATAGATTAATCACAAGTAACAATAAAGCAGAAAGTAATTTGTATTATAGAAGAAATAAACATGTTGCTGGTTCAAAAAAAACTCTTTGCTGGATATACTTATGTTCATTGGAGTAAGGTATATGAAGGTGAAACATCAGTTGTGAAGAGGAAGATTTGTATATTGCTTTATTTACTACTTTAATCCACAATTATATTGATACTTATTGTAACAGTTCATAGTCTGGCATCCTTAGAAATTGCACTTATTAGTATTAAATGATTGATGTAACCGTTGCAAAAATTTTGGAAGAACGTTGTCACGACCCAAAATTCGCTATAGGTCGTGATGACGCCTAACATCGCCGTCAAGCAATAGTGACTAATCGACTTAATTACTCATTTTATTATTTTCGAAATCATGAATCCTATTATATAAGTAGAGTAAAACCTGGTACTCGTAGAAAATCCGTAATTTTATTTTCCAATTTCCGTATAAAATATAAATTACAAGGTGAAATGGTAATAATTACGTGAACTACAATAATGAACATCCAGTAGGAACCCTCAAAACCCGGTGTCACAAGTGCATGAGCATCTACCAAGAAATATAATAAAATACAACATCTGCCTTGAATACAAGTTAGACAGGAGAATGTAAATAACTCTGATGGAGACTCTGTATACTGTGGATCGTAACATGGAATGCAACTCACCATAAAGTCCCTGCAATAGCCGCGCCGCTGCGCCCAAAAGACCACCAGGAATATATATATATAGTTTTAGGATATAATACTACACATTAGGAATCCTACATAATTACCTTTAGGAATCCTATTAGTATAATTACTCGCGGGCTGTCTAATTTATATAAAATTGAACAAGTAAATATCTTTAGTCATGTAATCCTATTACTTTTAGGATATACTTGTTAAAAAATTCTATTACTAATTTAATTTGAAAACGTGTTATAATGTCCTATTACTAATTTAATTTGAGAATGTATTATATTGTCCAAATTCATTTAGAAAAAACGAGAACCTATATTATTATAAAATCATAAATACAATATTAATATATCAGAATAGCCCTAAAAAATAAAACAGAAGAACTCATAGGGAAAGGGCATTACTGCAATAACCTGTTTTTTGAACTATAATACCTTCTATGCTAATTTTTAATATTTAAAATTTTAAATTAATAAAATTTTGTCTATTAAATTCTTATTAAAAATATGTAGGAAGTTTTAATAAAATCAATTTCATAAGAATCCTTCGTATTGGCAATACATTACCACTACATAATGTCCAATACAAAGAAAAAATAAAGTAATATTAAATAGACCGCATAAATAGTTGAAATTGAGAAAACAATATCCCCACGATAATATATTTTATTTTATATTTGAACTATTTTGTACTCAAATAATATTTTTTAATTAATTTTTTCGTGTAATATTAAAAAATACTCAATTATTAAACAACAACTAAGAAAATATTTAAGAATATAAATGTGCGAGAAAGAGAAAAAAAAGGTTGGTAAGAGTCAATACCACTAATGATTCTACAATCATAAAGATCTAAAAGTGAAATATCGTATCAATCTTTTACTCTTTGAAAATAAAATTTATGGTGGATAAAATTATAATTAAGATTAAATATTCAAAATAAGAGATGAACTAATATTAAGATCTTAATCAACATAGAATAAATTATTTTTTATGTTAAAACTAAATAATTAAATCTTTTAATTAAATATTTAGCAAAAGAATCCAATTCAATTATTTCTTAAATTCATCATATGAGTAAAATTCTTATTCAAGTTTAAAAAAAATCTTAGTTTATATAAATTTATTCCATAAAAAGAGCGTTAGAACACAAAGTGAAAAGGTAGTATATTATTAAGAATCAAAATACTATACAAGTGTCTGAGGAAGCACAATCAAAGTTATATCCTAAACAAGAACAAGCTTTCAAGACTATGTTACAAAGAGTCGACTCTGGTATAACGGAATTATTCTTTGTAGATGCCTCCGGCAGAATCGAAATAATATTTCAATGTCATGAATTACTTGCTCAAGAGGCATGACACTGTTAGCAATAATAGTAAGTGGTGTACCAACGGCGATTTTATTGTGAGGCCACCCACTTTAGATTTGATATACCTCTTCAAACAACTTAAATAACCATCACAAATATATCAAAGCAGGAAAGCAAAATCGATAATATGGGATGAGGCACTTATTGCTAATCAAACGATCGAAATAATTGCCCAGAGTTCTAGAGATATATTGGATATTAATGAACCATTTGTGAAAAATTAATGGTTTGGGAGGTGATTTTTGTCAAGTAGTACCAGTAGTTCCAAAATCGACAAAAGCCGGGACTTTAAAAGCTAACTTGCCAAAGTTATACTCTAGCCTTAAACGAAAAAAATTCAACTGACAAGAAATATAAAGTAAGAACAGATCCAGTATCCAGTGTTTTCTTGCTTCATGTCCGAAATGAAGAAGAGCATCCAATAAAATACATTACTTTAATACCAAATGGTATTCTACCATACATGTTTGTTGTCAAGTTTCTTATTTCTTGCGTATGTTAGAGTCACTGTATATATAATAGACTAAGTTAAAATTGATCTTCCATTGTATATAGGTTAATTTTGAAGAAAAAATATGTCTGTCATGCTACCGAAAAACTTAGATACGCTGAATAGCTTATGTAATAGCACACATATGGTATATAGAAGTTTTGACAATAACGTCATAGATGCTAAAATTATGATATTGGCTAATGTGCTACTAAGTATATTTGTATCCCTCAATTCAACTTTCGTCTTACGAAACTAAGGAATATTATTTTTAATTTGTGTGAAAATAATTTTTAGTATGTTTATGTTTTGCACTAATAAATAAAGCATAAGGACAAACATCATAAATATTGTACTACATTTACCGCAATACATTTTCTTGCACGAACAACTGTATGTTACACTTTCAAGAGAAATATCAAGATCGACAACAAGACTTTTGGTTAAGACAGAGCAACCAACGCATTAGGAGGAAACATACACAAAAAATTATTGTCCACAAAGACGTGTTCGTTAAGATACCATCATATTAAATACTTTTAAACTATAATATATAATTATCTAACTACTTGACAAAATTAATCGTTTGTGTAAGTTTTGATGATGTCCTTTTTGTTTTAAATTCATGTATTATGCTAATGTAATAATATTTTTCGGCATTTAGATGATTGTTGTTTTATTATACATAAAATTTCTCTCATTAATTAAATTTTATTGTTCCTTCATATAAATAAATATTTAAATCATCACGTGTCATTATTAACGTGCAACGCACGTTCATATATACTAGTGTGTGTGTGTGTGTGTATATATATATATATACTAGTTATGGGCACAGCCCGTGCTAAGCACGAGCCCGAGCCCAACTTAAATACACTGATTGTGCTTATTCCATCGTAAGTAGTTTCGTGCTAGTTGCTTATCCTTCTTACATCATAACATTATGACCCTTTCCTCTCATTCAGTGCCTTTTTTTTTGCATTCAACCGGTAAGTATAATAGCAGTATATTGTTATGCAACAAAAGAGTAATCAATGAAAATTCCAGCGCCAAAATATTTTCAGGTCCAAATTTTGAATGCACACTGATACAATTTATTATAAATTTTTCCGCCGCCATCTCTCCACAAAATTTGAGCAGTGCGTCCACAAGTATGGACAAAGATTCAAACAGATCAAAGCAAAGATATCATTTCTCCATGCAAACAAAGAGCTTGGAAAGAAACAGAATCTGCAATAAGCAAAACTGATTAGAAGAGGGATATTATTAGTGCAAATATATGTAATTCATTTCAATGACCTTAAAATAATTTCTTTTCCCTACTTTTGAAGGTCAAGGACTCTTTCCAGTAGGTAAGAGTTGTGTAAAGGCCAACTCTTTACATTGGTTAGTATTCGAATTTGAAGCATTGGAGATCGAGTGATAGAAACGAAATTCAGCAAGAACAAATGAAATGGCAGCCAAAGTCAATCTGACCAATCCATGCATAAACAAGAAGTGTATAACGTTCTTCACCAAACGATGTCTTAAATTCTCTCCTATGATACACCTATTGGGTACTTGATGGAAGACTGTAAGGAATGGAGACAGAGAGGGTGTAAGAGAATCGCCAAAATAGCTCTACTGGCAGTTATCCATTTATTATAAAGAGTCCTGATCTCTGTGTAACGGTCATTAACCTTATCTAGCACATAAATTGGAATTACCTAAAACTGCAGAAGCCCAGTAGGCAAGAAAATTACTTCAAATGGATGTACCTTCCTTCCTTGCTAATAGCAAAAAGTAACATCATATATCTACCAGAGTTTCGTAGTTCCTTCGAATTTATTTGCTAATAAATATATTCTCATTTTATCCTTATTTCTGTTCTTCTTGTTCTTTTGTTTTCTTTCCTCTTGCAGCTCCTCAAGAATATCACTTATTAGCAGATGTCGACTTACCTTCTTGGTCATCTCAACATGCAACTTATCAAAATCAGAGTTGCCTCTAACAGCCCTAGCTAGAGCGTCTGGGATTTCCGAATGACCATACCGAGGAATTCTACTGTACTCGGTGCAACTACAATTATTGATCTTGCATAGTCTATCCAAAGGTTCAAGCCAGATATACTAACTCCATGAACAACCAAATTGAGCAATAAATCAGTAGAACGAGAAAGAATTGCAGTAGCCATGATGACAGTACTATACCAATTTTCAGATCTCAAGAATATTCTCTCACCATAAAAAACTAGTAGTAGTAGTAGTAAAAAACAGCTAATTCTCACACTCTCCTCGTCCTTCCTCCCTACTGCGCTTTGAGAACTCTCTCGGACAATAAGAAAAAGCTTTGCTTTCGGCACCTCCTATTCATCACTATCACCATCAACACTTTTCTCTACCTCCCACCACATACGATCTCGCGCACTTTAATCACAAAGGCTTTTATAAAAACAAATACAAAATATTTTGATTTTAATTTCTAAATAAATATTCCCCAGTTTGCTAGAAAAACAATGAAGTTCAATCATTAAAAAGACATGAAAGAGTGACATATTTCCATTCTATTAGACGTAGTGAAGATCCAATAAATTAGAAATTGAAAATATTAGTCGATTCCAAATTTCAACTATTAATTTTCTCGAGTCAATTATTCTTAGCATGTCAGTCCTAACCGTTGTTTTGCAAGAAAAATAAAACACAAAAAACATGGTTACTTCAAACCCTTCAATAAAATTTACTTTTTCTGATAAAGTTCCTTCACAGAAAATTATGACAAAAATTTATTTAAAAGCTTCATGTCTCAACGAAAGCATATAAATCAGAAAATTGATCACCTTCGTATAACTAATCACCATCCTTCTAGCTAAAAACCAGCTTCTAAATTCACCTGGAAAATTAGTTTTATGATTACTTCCGAAACTAATTCAACATCTTTCTGAAAAAATGAAATTAATGCCACAAATGATTTTGCTAACCGAATGGGTAATTTTAGTAACACAAATGATATTTTTTGAGAAGATCACGAATTATTTTATTCTACAATGTGGACATAATAATATGTATGGACACCAATTCCCCAAACTCCCACCCCAATGCCCAAACTTCATATGTGAAATTCACATAAGCACATGGGAGGATGTAACGTTGTGAAGAAAGATTAACACCCAAGTAATTGTGTCAAAGAACATAATGGCAAAAAGAATGGACNCCCCCCCCCCCCAAACCCCAACGCCCAAACTTCATATGTGAAATTCACATAAGCACATGGGAGGATGTAGCGTTGTGAAGGAAGATTAACACCCAAGTAATTGTGTCAAAGAACATAATGGCAAAAAGAATGGACACACACACCTCATACCAAAGGTCTCATCCAGGTAAACATCAAAAGTTATGCAGTTATATAATTTCAGCTAATTATGACACCAAATGCTGAATTTGTTGATATGCAGTGTAACAGCAACTATACCTCAATCCGAAGTTACTTGTGGTCTGATTCTGCAATTTATCAAGTAAAAAGATGCTACAACTTTTCACGTCAAAGTTGAAATAGAAGGTTACCTGCTGAGAAAAAATACAAAAAATGTGGAGATAACATGTACTCCGAGTGAGAAAGTTTCGAACTTTTAACTAACCTGAGCTCTCATTATGGCAAAGTTTTAATCGTTTATCATTTAGTCGAATATATGCAGTGGAGACTTCACTTTCCTTTTTCCTTAAATGTTGAAGCAGTAGCCCACTTGAAGTAACTACAGTTTGATTCAGAATTTGATGTAGGTCCCTGGAAGAGAATATAGATTTTAAAGAGAATTTAGCAAGATAGAAGGATTAAAATACAACTTCCTATTAGATACAAATTCTACCATTTTGGGGGCTGCTACATGAAAAGACTTGATGAGACAACCACTCATTCATATTGCGGAAAACATAATGAGTGCAAGCCATAGAAAATATAGTTTTTAAATAAAAAGATGATATCCAGTTAAACAAATTGGAAAAAAAATGCAAGTCTCGGAATCAGCTCAAGAGTATTTTCCTATGAAACAGAACGAAACACCAAAATTATTATACTGAGAAAAGCCCTCATCCTTTTCATTTTGATAAGTAAAGAAGTAACTTTAGTCAACAGTACCGAGAAAGTGCAAAAATAATTCTTTTCTTTACAATGATGAGAGAGCAAGAAATTACACTGAAACTCCTGTAGCTAAGTAAAGAAGTCCTTATACAAGTATCCAGATTATGTCCGTTATATAATTTATCTATTAACCCAAATATTGTGAATATCCCTCGTCAGGCACAAGCGCTATCTTTTGCATTAATAGTAAATATTGACTGGGAGAAGGGGATTGATCTTGTAGTCAAAGCAACAACGCACGGACAAGCTAAATGAACTCTCTTAATTATAATGCAGCGTATGCCAATGCTATTTTCAATTGGAATCCAGGAAACAATTGTACACATATTTTGTCTTTTTTATTTCAGAATACAGATATTTCACTCGGCGCGCTAGTAAGAAATTAGATATAGTAAATTAAATCTCTAAACTAATCTCAACAAACATCCCAACATATTATGTAGTCATTAAACAACTTAGAACTCAAGAAACAGGAAGCAATGTAGTTTTATGATAATTTTGCATTCAAGTCACAACTTTAAAAAACACCAACTAACAAAACAAGTATGATGACTATGTCGTACCAATATAACTAAAGACTTACCATACTTACCAATAGAAAAGAAGGATAAAACCCCTATAGGTAGGACGACAAAGAGGTCATAGAGAAGTGAACGGATCCTTATAGTAATATTAAGGTGAAATTGGTCATAAATTTGAAGATATAAGAACCAAACATGACTTGTAAAGAAAATGGAAGCTACAGACCGGAAAAACTCACACTTACTGTTGGATAGTTTAATTGTTCCCTAATAGTAATTCCACTTTGCAATGCCTTAAAAAACTTTAATTGTTGCACATCAATTTTCGTCTTCTTCTTTTTTCACACGAAGCAGGGGTTGAATCAGTCGTCGTGGTCACCAATCTTTCTTCAGTTCAAGAGTTACGCCAGTAGCGAAATTGGACTCCAAATCATTTAAACAAAACTTATAAGAACTGAGCTCAGAGAAGAAAATCAATAACCCAAAATCCATATTTAATGAAACTAAACGGTAAAGGAAGAAAATGAAGGGGGAATAAACAGCTCTCGCTTAGAGCTAGTAAGGTGCATTTCCAAAGAAAGAACAACATTACCTCAAGCAAAAACTTTTCATCCTTGTAGGGAAAAACCGAGGCTTGAAGTATCACCTAAATATCATAATTTGACACATACCAATGGTCAGAAAAAAGGATTTTGATACTTCAACGTTCTCTAGAACAGATTAATTTTGCAGTAATTAGTTTGTACCAAAAGAGAACACTGACAAAATGCCATGAGAGGATTTTGGTCAGTAATTTTCTCATGCAAACGTCATTAGAGAAATAATCAGAAGAGACATCAAATAACAATTGACCCAAATACTGTCACATATGTAAGAATCTAGCAAAATTTTAGCCACAGATAATTTAAGTAAGAAAAGATTACTTGGAGAAAAAACTTACCACAACAGAGAGCTAAATTTGAGACAAATTAGACGAAATAAACAAAATCTTAATCTACAAATTGAATAAACTTTGAACAGAATCCAGTATTCCCTAATCTAGTGATGGAAACTTGGATATATGAGAAAAGAAGGTGAATTTGGGTAAAAGAGTGGGACTTGTAGTGAGGGACACGTGTTTGGTTTTCAGGTCTGAAAGACACGCTTTGAATTTAGCCATAAAGATGTTTATATCTACTGAAATGCCCTTTCACTTATTATACGTGGTAAATACTTATCCAAAAAGTGCACCAAGTGTAGCATGAGTACGTAAATCAACGCGTATCCAATAAGTATCTAGCCTAATTCCAGAGAAGTAGTGACGAGGGGTCGACATCGACACTTACTAGTAGTCCAATACATCAAGTACAACCGAAAGTAAACAAGTATGAGACATGGTAAAAATAGCGTAAACAAAGTTAAGCACGTGATACGATCCTCCTCTGAACAGTAAACGCAAGCCCTCAATTATCGGTCACCTCCTCAACCGGAGTATATATGAAAAATGATACCCACCAGATAGATTGTCACAACTCAAATCAGGAAAACTCACGGATACGATGGCTTCTTGCCAAATATTACGCACGATGCTGCCGAGGCGAACGACCCGATCCCATAAGAGTATTTATAGAAATGCTGAGGCATACGTTCCGATCACATAATGATGTGTGCACTACCGAGGGTCGAACGACACGAACCATAGATGCATCTATTATACTGCCGAGGTGAACGACCCGCTCCCATGAGAATATAAAGCTTTAACGGGTCCTTGACCCCACTCACGAAGATACATGTGAGTTATGAAATGAAAAGAAGCTTTTAAATGAAAACGCACAACGCGCGAGAATTTCGTAAGGGAAAACACAATTATTTCGCGGGTAATCAAGTAGCTCGTCAAATCTTTACAATAGCGAGTCTATCACTCTACGCAAGCCTAGTTTCAGGTCGCAACGCGAAATAAGGGAATTATACGGGCAAGGATAACTCAAATAATACAATTAAAGCATGGCGTGAACCTAAGTCTACCCGGACATAATCAGGAACTCTAGCATACGCACGGACACTCGTCACCTCATACGTGCGTAGCTCCCACAACATGTAGCATATAACAAGAACAGCACTTACAGGGTAAATTCTCCCTCACAGGGTTAAACATGAGACTTACCTCGCTCTAAAGTTCCATAACCGACTCCAACGCCACTCTAACACCTCAAATCGATGCCCTTCACTCCAAAGCTAGTCAAACAATATGCAAACCAATAAAAATATACTTTAATACTTATAATAAATTAATTTATAATAATTCCCAACTTTGCTCGAAAAGTCAATAAAATCAACCCTCAGACCCACATGCCCTGATTCTGAAAATTTCGAAGATAAACTTTACCCATAATATCACGAACTCAAATATATAATTTATTCCAAATTTCATGTCCAATTTTGTGGTCAAAATCCAAAAATACCAAATTCTAGGATTCTTTCAAAATCCCACAATTTTTATATATTTTCATGTATAAATTCATATATAACTCATGTATTTAACTCAAAATAGATGGAAATAGCTTACCTAACAATGGATGACAAAAATATCATCTTCAAGAACACCAAAAGTCGCCCAACCAAGTGAAAAATGAGTGAAATGGGCAAAAACCCCTACTTAAAACCATTTTGTCCAGGCCCGTTCTTCTTCGCCGATCGCGGAAATCCCCTCACGATCGCGAAAGCCAACAACTAGCTTACCAAAATTCTCAATCGCGGTCGCGAACATCCACAGCGATCGCGAAGCTTTACCTCCCAAAACTACGCGTTCGCGAACCAAAAGTCGCGTTCGCATAAGGCAAAATTCTCAGTCCATCATTCCTTCTCCACGATCGTGGTTCCCAAGTCGTTATTGCGTATCACAAACTAGCAGCCCCCCAAATTCCTTCTTCGTGATCATGTACTTCACCTTGCGATCGCAATGCACAACACCAGCACCAGCAACGATGTAATGACCCGGCCAGTCATTTCGAGAGTTGTAGCCCCGTTTTCCTATTTACTATGCATTTCGTACTTTATAGTTGTTATGTGACTTGCCGGGGTAGTCGGGTCCGGAGTGATTTCAGAATGAAATGAGATACTTAGTCTCAATGTTGGAAGCTTAAGTTGAAAAGGTTGATCGAATGTTGACTTATGAGTAAATGACTCCGAAAATGGAGTTTTGATGGTTCTGTTAGCTCAGTTGGGTGATTTTGGACTTAGGAGCGTGTCCGGATTGTGATTTGGAGATCCGTAGTTGAATTAGGCTTGAAATCGCGAAAGTTGGAAATTTGGGAAGTTTGACCGGGGATGAACTTTTTGATATCGGGATCAGATTGGAATTCTGGAAGTTGGAGTAGGTCCGTAATGTCAAATGTGACTTGTGTGCAAAATTTGGGGTCAATCGGACGTAATTTGATAGGTTTCGGCGTCGTTTTGTAGAAGTTGAATTTCTTTAGTTTCAATAGGCTTGAATTGGGGTGCGATTCATGTTTTTGAAGTTGTTTGATGTGATTTGAGGGCTCTACTAAGTTTGTATGAGGTTTTAGGACTCGTTGGTATGATTGGTTGAGGTCCCGGGGGCCTCGGGTTGATTTCGGATGGTTAACGGATCAAAAATGGGACTTAGTGCATTACTGAAGCTCGAGCTCTTCTGGTGTGATCGCACCTGCGAGAGGTTAGCCTCATGTGCGATGTTGCAGATGCGGCTGAATTTACGCAATAGCGGAGCTGGCCTGGGAAGGGCACAGGTGCGAGGGGGTTAACCGCATCTGCGAGCCCGCAGGTACGAGCGAGGCTCCGCATATGCGGAGTTGAGGGAAAGGTCTTTTCCGCAGAAACGGATAGAAGACCGCAGAAGTGCCTATGCAGGTGCGGAACCTGGAGCGCATATGCTGGCCTGGATGATTTAAGTGACTTCTGTAGAAGCGGAGGGGTTACCGCAAAAGCGGTTCTGCACGTGCGAAAAGCCTGGGCAAAATGTTTAAAAACAAGGGTTCGCGATTTTGGCTTCATTTTAACATTTTGAGCTCGGATTTTGGCGATTCTTGAGAGGATTTTCGAGGTGATTCTTGAGGTAAGTCCCTTGTGATTGTTTTTGATCAATAATCTTGTTTCCCCATTGATGTTTTCCCCCTAGTTGGTGTGTATTTAAGGTGTAAATTGGGGGTTTGAGGCTAGGGATTTGGAGAGTTTGATTTGGGGATTTAGGTGACGATTTGGTGTCGAATTTTGATAAATTTAGTATTGTTGGACTCGTAGTTGAATGGGATTTCGGGTTTATGACTTTTGTCATATTTCGGGATGTGGGCCCGGGGGCAGAATTTGAGCCGATTTTTGACTTTTGATTAATAACTTCATATTTTCTTGTGGAATTGATTCCTTTAGCCCGTGTTGATTGTATTGTACTGCTTGTGGCTAGATTCGGGTCATTTGGTGGCCGATTTGTGAGGCAAAGATGTATTGGAGTAGAGATTTTCTCGGATTGAGGTAAGTAACACTTCTAAACTTGGCTCTGAGGGTTCGAAGCCCCGAATTATGTGTTATATGATTGGTGTTGAGGTTATGTGAATGCCAAGTGACGGGCGTGCACCGTGAGAACTGTGACTTGGTCGATTCCATGGAACTGTATAGTGGATTTATCTTGTTGATATCCGTGTTTTCATCATGTGTTAAAGTAATTGAGTTATCAATCGTGCTAGAGATCATGTAGATCATGTCTAGGCTATGTGATGATAGTGTTAGGGCCCATAGTGGTCATTTCTTGCTGTTGAGTTATTAATTTCATTGAAATTTCATACTCAGTCATATTCATTTATTACATGTCATATCTCAGTCTATGTTTCTATTTATTGATACATCATATCATTATTTTTGGGCTAGTTTCAAGGCATTGTGAGCTCGTGAGTGAGAGACTGGAGAGATTGATGATTGAGTGAGGCCGTGGGCCTAATTATGAGTAACATTTATGGGATCGGGTTGCACGCCGCAATGAGTTTTACTGATTTATGAAAGCGCTTGGGCTGAAGGAGCCCCTCCAGAGTCTGCACACCCCAGTGAGAGCGGTTGATTGATATTGAAGGATGGATCTTCCATGGACATGGATCTTGTCCGAAGCATTTATACCTAGGGATGGATCTTCCCCATGGGCTGGATTGTCCCTACCCAATACTTAGTGATTGACTGTCAATTGATGTATATATATTTCCGGGATGGATCTTTCTTGGGCCGGATTGGCCATATACAGTACTGAGTGATTGAGCATTTCGAGAGCGTGAGCATACGAGGCTTTCAATATGGTGCATCACATACAACATGTGCATTGGCATGTAGAAGTAGAGAAGTTATATCCTTCATATCATTCAGAATTGATCTATTTTACTGGTATTGAGTTTAACTGTTGAATTTGAAAGCATATCTACATTTTTGCACTATTATTTCTATATTGAACTGTACCGGCTGAGTCCGTCACTACTTTCAGTCCAAAGGTTAGATTTGTTACTTATTGAGTTGGTTGTACTCACGTTACACCATGCACCTCGTGTGCAAATTCAGGTGCTTCCGGCCATGGCGGCTGCTAAGTTGTGGAGTCAGGATCTTCGGAGATTATCGAGGTAGTTGTATGGCATTCGCATACCTTGGCTCTCCTTCATTATCTTCATTTATATTTCAGTCTTTATTCCCTAGACGTTGTATTAGACTATATACCTGTATAGATGCTCATGTACTCAGTGACACCCCGTTTTTGGGAGTGATTTGTATTGAGTTGCGAATTTTATTCTGTTTTTAAAAGGTTTTCCTTAAATTTAACTACTTCTGTATTTTTCAAAGTTTTTGTTGTGTTGAAATGGTTGAGTAGTTGGCTTGCCTAGTTCCATGATAGGCGACATCACTACGGTTTGGTTTTGGATCGTGACAAGTTGGTATCAGAGCCTAGGTTACATAGATCTCACGAGTAATGAGCATGTGTAGTAGAGTCTTGCGGATCGATACGGAGACGTCTGTACTTATCTTCGAGAGGCTGCCGAACCCTTAGGAAACTTCATATGCTTGTATTTTTGTCGTGCAAATT